ATATTGTTTTATGACAACATCATTGCATTCTTTAATTTATGTGAAAAAACTTTAAACGACAATTATTTTGAAATGGATGGAGTATTATTGTTTTTGAGATATTCAACGATCTTAATAAAGCTTCTAAAATCAAGAAAAGCTACTTGGGTATTAAAATGAACATGGTCAAAGCTTATGACACACTTGGATGGGACTTTATAAACAATACCCTATTATCCATAGGCTTTTCTCAAGAGTTTACTAAAGCCATCATGAACTGTATCAATGTTGTAACTTTCTCTACCCTCATCAACAATCTCCCTATAAATAGATTCATTATAATTAGAGGAATAAGACAGAGAGACTCCTTACCCCCTTACATTTATATTCTTTATACTAATTTTTTCTCTAATATTATCATAAATGACCAAAACAATAAACTTCTTAAAGGAATAATTATAGCTAGAAAAGCTCATAAAATTACTCATTTATTCTTTGTTGAGGACAATCTAAAATTTTATAAAGCGAGGGAAGAAGAAGCCAACACCCTTCTAAAAATTATCAACAACTACTGTCGTAGTGCGAAAAATATCCAAGCGTAAGGAACACTTGAAATATAACAGAGTCACCATCGAATTTTATTTATTCCAAAAGGAATGGAAAATATCGATAAAACCCATAAAAGAAAAGAAAATGGATGTCGCAATCAGATCGAGTTTGGGAGTCGGTTATGCAAAGAGAAGGTATTAACACCCCTCACATCCGTTATACTCAACAAGATTTAATTAGTTAGTTTTTCAAAAGAGTGTTAGTGTGATGTCTATTGCAATCTTCTACTTATTATGCAGGAAAAAAGAAAGAAAGGACCTGAAGAAATCAGTACCTAAGAATCAGCAGTCAAAGGTTTAGAAGAAACCAGAACCTAAAAATCCTCAGTCAAAGGTTCTAAAGAAAACAAAGCCTAAGAATTATGGACCAAGGGTTCTGAAGGGTTCAGAAACTAAAGTCAAAACTTATCCAAGACAAAACTTTTATAAGCAAAAAGTTTGAAATGTGTCTTGACCTTTTATCAGGAATGCTTAAAATAAAAGGAAGTCTGTCAGAACTAACACTAGAGGATCCATAAGAGTATGGATACCTAAATATGAAATTGTATTTGCTGCAGATATGCCTAAGCAGAGAAACAAATCTACAATCCTAGTTCCTGGATAATGGTTGGTTACAACATATAAAATAAGGAAATCATACATTTCAAATCCTAATTCTGAAAAGGTAAGGAGACGTGGAATTTGGAAGAAACCACAATGGACATATTATGGCTATGGATTCTTAAGTTTGTCTAGAAGAATATTGTTTGGAACAAAGTGTGGAACCTTATTTTGCAGGTAACAAGTTTTGTTTTGATGATCACAACTATAGAAAGATCATAAAGTTTATTCAACATATTAAAGATGCAAAAGCAGACTAATACAATAAGATATCACATCATATAATTAAAATGATAGAGATGCAATATGATGGCTAATGTAGAAGAGCAATGAAAGTAAACTCAACATAGTAAAAGATGCTACCTTTTATAAAGTCAACCAAGAAGAACAATAAAAGAACATTCAGCCTAGCAAAAAATGCAACATTATGAATAAAAGAGCAAATTGGATGATACTCAGTATAACAAAGATGCAACAATTGAGAAAGTTAAGCAATGCACTTAAACAGTTAATGCAAGAAATGATTTTGATAAGAAAGACTCGTATAAGGATAAAGGAAATCAAAAGCCTCAGGTCATCTCAAAGCAAAGGTCAAACACATGGAATACACCAGACACAATATCTAGGTTGATCATCCTAAAATAACAACTGAGTGAATCAATGTAAGCAAATTTTTTTATTTATAGAAGTAATTGACTATAAGCGCGCGCACACACACGCACACACACACACGCTTAAAACATTTTTATAAAATTCTTTTGAAAATAAGATGTCTTGAAAAAATATGTAGGAGTTGCCTAGAAAGAAATGAGAACATTAAAAAAAGGAAAAAAAAATTATTTTGACTGGATTTAATCGATTAGCCAAATCAATTAGATTGACGCATTTTTGAAGATAAAGGAAATTTGAATGTACCCAATCGATTGGAAACAACTACAAATTACTTATTGCCTATTTTGGATAACTTAGTCGTTACTCTTTAATGATTTAATCGATTGTGTCAATCGATTAGTAACGGCAAAAAATTATTAAATACTATTTCCTTTTTTGGATGATTTGAACACTATAAACAAAGGTCTCATTCCTCAGTTTAAATCATCTAGAATACAAAATGTGTATTTACACACACATACTCTCTCTCTCTCTCTCTCTCTAAGTTTTTCTTTGTCACTTTCTCTCACTAGTTCTTATAGCCAAATACTTTTTCGAGGAAAGTTCTTTTGTGAGAAGAGGTTTATGTATTTCTGGTTGGGTAGCAATGTATAAAGTTATTCAAGGTTGTTCTTGATTCACCTTGATGAACATCCTCCATGTTTAGGGAAAAAATATGTGGTTCGAAGCTAAACCCGTTAAAAACTTTGTTTGGAAATTTATGTGATTAGGTTCCTATAATTTATATAGGTTGGAGGTTATCAATGTTGTTGAGATTTCCTTAAGACTATTATAAAGTCTTCTTTATTCAAAGGTTAAAGATCAACAATATTGATGACCTCACCATTAGGTTCATGGTTAGTTCGTTATAAAATCATAGGTTAGTTGATCAGTCTGTTAAAATCACGAGAGGTTAATGGTTATCATGTTAAATCATATTGAGCTCAAATATTTTTAGTAGAGATAAGTGATGATAATTAAATCTACAGTTGGGGGAGGAGCTTGGCCACTTCGATATCAACAATGGAGAAGACGTTGACGCTTATATATTTTGTCTTGTACTATCTGTTAGAAAAAGATTTGGTTCTGTAGATAATCTCTGAAACTTGATGATAACAGTGTATATATTTTATATGTAACAATTTTATGTTCTAATAGTTTCTTGAGTGTGTAGATAAAATATTCTAATTGATTCAGGATTGTTGTCTAAGGAATCATTAGAATTATACTTAGCACGCCTTATAAAGACTATTCCATCTATTCTGAAGAAACATCAATAGTTCTAATGAATGTTGAATGTTCGCCAGAAAAAGATCCGCACATAATTCTCAGATAAGTTGTTGCTTCAGAAGTCACGAGTGTGTTCAGAAAAAGGATCTGTATGTGTGAAGATCAGATATCAAGCTTTTATTTCGAAGATCAGAAATCAAGATAAAGTGCTTTTCATATAAGCTTTTGCTTCCAACTCAGATATCAAGAAACTGTTTGTCAGATAAGCTGTTACTACATGTCTGAAGACAAGGTCATGATTTTAAAAGACTCTAATACATTTGAGAATATTGCAATGAAACGTCTTCGGAATATATATCACTTCCTATCAGAAACATTCCATCATAAGATTAAGAATAAAGATATGATATCTTATGCGCTCTCTTACTACTTCATATCAGAAGTATCTCATCAAAAGAAAAGATCAGAAACTTGCACAAGAAAAATACACTACAACACCTAGTCCTCTATTTGTGAAGAACGCATTGTACGGTTGAAGTTTTGGTGCACCTTTGTCTCCCATGGTTACACACTACCTTTATAACATCTGGCATAAGAAAAAGGCATTTGTATTATTCAACGGTCTTCTTTTCCCAGGTTTAATTTGGGGGTGGCAGATAAAATCCTCCTCTTCTCAAAGTCAGATTTAGACTTGTTGCACTTATAAAATCTATTTTGACACTTATTTTGAAATAATACATTTTAATTATAAAAATTGTCTTTACAAAGAATCAAACTCACAATCCTTTGTTAAAAATGTAATCACCTAACTGTTGCGCTTCTTAACATAAATCTGTTGCACTTATAATTAAATTAATGTTAAGAAGCGCAGTAGTTAGATAATTATATTTTTAACAACGAATTGTGGGTTTGATTCTTTGTAAAGACAATTTTTATAATTAAAATGTATTATTTCAAAATAAGTGCCAAAACATGAAACAATGGATTCGAACACAAGTCCCGTAGAAAAATTCCAAGATTGTTTACCACTCGATAGAGTATTTCTAACAACTATGTATTTTGAATTAAAATTATAAATTTATCGGTCCAAATTAAACATTTAAATATTTTAAAAATAAGTTTTGAAATAAAATAAATAATTAAATATTCATAATTATCTATTATTAAAAATATATAAATAATTTATTTATTTTCTTTATTTTAAAATATTATTTATAATTTTAATAAAATAAATTTTTTATAAGAGTCAATTTTAAAAATTAGAACACGACCTTCTTCTCTATAAATATCAATGATATTGGTTATGATGCTCATCAAATTCGGTTAAACATCTTCAATTGTTTTTTTCTTCTAATTTTTATCATCTGAAAGTGATTTTAAAATAAAAATAATGTTTGAATTTTGATCGCAAATCTCAATCTCTAATGAATGAAAAAGGATAAAAAGCCTAAAACATTTTTTTGACCATAAACCCTATAAACCCTATATGTGAAAAGAAATAATGGTAATGAATAAAAATGAATAATTTTAACATAAACTCAGTCGATGAATTGAGAAATTTGAGTAAAAGTACAAACTCAAACAATTTCAATTTCTTTTTTGGATTGAACCACAACACAAACAATATGACTATTAATAAACTTTGTTATTTTCCTTGATATCAATCCAATGTGAATCCATTGTACGAAAACAATAAAGAAGAGAAAGTGAACAATAATTTATTTTCTTCACAAAGTAACTTATTTTATAACAACTCATATCAAATACGATTAGGTCATTCTGCCATATAAACAACTAATTAGAGCTTCAAATCTACAATCAACAAACATAATATTAAGCAAACTATAATTTTCCTCACCTCAATCAAACACATAAATAATGCCGAACTTTTTTTATTCTTAACATTACTTTATAATTTACTAAAAACCACCTTCAAGTATTAACACCATTCATCTTAAGCTCATCTTTAATTTTCACAATTTCATCTTCTGGCATTATAATGGTCACAAAGTTTCCATCATTATCATTTTTGTTAGGACCTTTTGACCTAGGAAGCACCAAAACAACACCTTCATCTCCAACCCCTTGAAGTGTGTAGTAAACAAATCTTGGTTTTTTTCCCCTCAATTTAAAGTCATAAACATTGACATCTTCTAAGTTAAGAAATGTCAAATTTGCACCATAGACAATTAAATCTGTCACACCTTGATCTTTTTCAACAATTTCCTCAATTTGTTTTCTCTCATCAATACCTTGTTCCACAAGTAACCTAGCCAAAGTTTTCAAATTTGTGTTAATAATAGAACAATCTTTTCCGGCCTCAACCTTGGATATCAATTGGTCATTTCCAATTATATCATTGCCTCTACCATTAGGATCGGCTCGACAAACAGTCACGGTAGTGGGTTCAGATTCTTCTCGAACTTTGGCAATACAACGCCAAATTATTGCGCATAGAGATTCAAAAGAAGGGGTTTTCTCAACACCCGGACCCCAAATTTGTTCTTGCAAGTTGTTCATTTGCAAGGTAGTTATGTGAAACGAGAATGTGTCCATTTTTTTGTTGTTGGCCGGGATCCAATGATCGCCAATCGGGTCAACCCATTTAATCGAAACTGGATCTTTTTCGGGTCTTTCTGATTTTAGGATTGTTGGAATGGATCTTGGAATGTTGTAGGGCATTTTTAGGCTCAAATTGTTTAAGAACTGGCCCCATTTATTGATGAAATCTGAAGTTGAATGTGGGTCTCCTAGTACATGCGCCCAACTAAGGCCCAATGCAACCCCACCACACTTAAACTGAGTTACCTGCAAAAACCAAATGACTTATTATTAAGATGACACATCTTATTATTGAATGCAACCTTTTTGGGTTGTGAAAACGGTTAATTAATGGAGGGAAAGCAACATGGAATAGTCGTGAATGGATTCATTCATCGACCTTAAAGAGAGCACACAAATATAGGTAGAGATAAAGATAGTATTCAATATAACACAATCTATTTCTCCTACTTTGTATTTCTTCTACTCATTTAAGATGTATTTAGTTTTTCCTATAAAGAAAATTAATTCTAAATAAATTGATTTTATGAAATTGAGTATGAATAAAAGTAAATTGAAAGTAAAATAATTTGTTAGACAAATTTTAGTAAAAAAAAGAGTTGAATAATAAATAAGTGTAAAATTACTTTTAAAATTAAAAGTTATAAATCATAATTTTTAGTAAATCAATTTTAAAAAGAGTAATCACTTTTATTTTGAAAGTAACTAAATATATTAAAATCAACTTCACGTATTCATAATAAATTTAGAATACGTTTACACATTTACTTTCTCTCAGATATAATATCTTAGTAGTATAAGAGTAATAATTAAAAAAATAATTTTTTTATGTTACCGCTTTTAATTTTTAATGTAATAATAATATATATTATTAATTATAATTTTTTTTAATTTATTCTTATTTTCTATTTTTATCTAAAATATATATTTTTTAAATATATTAATTTTTAAATATCAACAACTTTTTATATTAATTCATAAATATAAATAAATTTTACTACAGAGACTGAACTCTATATCACTAATTTATATTCATTTTTATACCATTTTATTTTATAATTAATAACTTAATTAAATTAATATATTATCTTTATTTGTTATAATTTTTTAATTGGTATAACTGATCAAGTATTACACTTCTTTAAATTAGAAAAAATATTACTTATATATATATTAAAAATATCTCTTGCTTTCTTATTATTATTACTCTGCATATTTAAATAGTATAAAGACCTTCCGTTTTAGTGTAACAAATAATGCTATTTTTGTTGTCCCCATAAGGTGAAAACATCGAGCATTTATGCCTACTGACATACATTTATGTTGACAACTAGTTCCATTTCGTCAATATTTAGTTATGGAAAAAAAATCACATTTATGGATATAGTTAGTTAGTACTTAATACAATTATGATTTCATGTCATATTAGGTGTTGTACACACTTCTTAAAAGATTGATTTTAAAGTAAAGTAGTGTGTCTAAAACATTCATTATAAACTATAAAAAAAGGAAATGCTAAAGGTGCTCCCGGGCACTTATTAAGAGTGTAAAAAAAAACATGTTTTGTTTGAAAATATTTATATTTAATATATTAAAAATTAAAATAATAAATTTAAAGGATATTTTTTTAAAAGACTTATATTTAATATAATATTTTTTTATTTAAAATTCTTAAAGAGTATTCATTATAAAAAAAACCGTGTATTAATTTTATTAAAATTTATCATTAATTTTTATTAATAAATTTTTTAACATATGCTTTTAGATACAAGTTAGCATGACCATATTGAAATAGCTAAATTAAATGAAGTACTATATCATCGATAACATTTACTTGAATATTGTAGATAAAAAGTAGAATAAATATACATAAAACACTTGAAATAAGATAAATTATATATTTTAAATCCTATGTCTATTTTAAATAAGATAAATTGAAAAAAATTATATAACAGAATTAATACAAAGAGTCATTTACTTTTAATTAAATTATCCTATACTTTTAATTAAATTATTACACTTTAGGATTATTTTTTCAAGTTTCTTAATTATTAAAAACGTATGAAGTTTCAAAATTAGCATATTTAATTTAAATGAGTGATTTAATAAACACTTAATATTAAGAGTTTTTCTCTTTACATAACTAGCTAATTCTAAGTCATTTAAAATTTAATATAGTATAAGAGAAGAAAGTAAAGAGATGCATATGCATCTATGCATGGTGCATTATTTAAAGAACCTGCAACAAAAGAGGAGGTGAAAAAGATAATTCTGGTCCAAGAACTTGTTGAGGAACGAGCAACTTGTAGGAAGACCAATCCTTCATATGAAGCCATTCTTGTAAAGTTTTAGTGCATTTAGCCTCAGCAAATCTTACTCCACAATCATTACATTTGATATATGGTTGCCCGGACTCCGATCGTCGAAATCGGCCACACGTGATGAAATAATGGTTGAACAAAATAAACAACGACTCTTTTATTTTCATAATAGTTAGACCTTGTGCCGCCTCAGAGTCAAATAGGTAAACCACCTTAAGATAATGAAGTTTCATGGCCAGGTCGAGACCACCGAGATAGTGAAAAACATCTGATCCGCTAATTCGACCAGGCCCAACGGAAGATAGTCTTACATCATAGACAAGACTCTCTTGCTCTTGTTGTGGAAACACCATGGTGATAAGAGGCTTAATTTGGTAGTTGTAGTAGAAGAGAGGTTAGGGCAAGAATATTATATAGAGTTGTGAGAGGGACCACAAAAATTATGGGTAGAGAGTGAGTTAATGTGAAGCTATCCGTTTGGTTGTCATTGGTCACAATTAGATAGATTAAAAGTTAGACTTAGATCCTCATGCATTTATATGATGTCTACGAACTTGTTAAATCTTGGCAGTTGAACTCCAATTATTTCTTTATCTAACTTCACATTTGATTGTAGACGAGTAGTTGATATATATGTAAAGGGAAAGAGAAAAAACATTTTTATAAAATTAATCCTATAAAGTATTAGGTATGGGTAATTAATGGAGGGAAAGCAACATGGAATAATCGTGAATGGATCCATTCATCAATCTTAAAGAGAGCACACAAATATAGGTAGAGATAAAGACGGTATTCAATATAACACAATCTATTTCTCTTACTTTGTATTTCTTCTACTCATTTAAGATGTATTTAGTTTTTCCCGTGAAGAAAATTAATTCTAAATAAATTAATTTTATAAAACTGAGTATGAATAAAAGTAAATTGAAAGTAAAATAATTTATTAGACAAATTTTAGTAAAAAAAAGAGTTGAATAATAAATAAGTGTGAAATTACTTTTAAAATTAAAAGCTATAAATCATAATTTTTAGTAAATCAATTTTAAAAAGAGTAATCACTTTTATTTTGAAAGTAGTTAAATATATTAAAATCAACTTCACGTATTCATCATAAATTCAGAATACTTTAAATGTAAAACCAAACATACGTTTATACATTTACTTTCTCTCGGATATAATATCTTAGTAATATAAGAGTAATAATTAAAAAAATAATTTTTTCTATGTTACCATTTTTAATTTTTAATGTAATAATAATATGTATTAATATAATTTTATTTTAATTTACTCTTATTTTCTATTTTTATCTAAAATATATATTTTTTAAATATATTAATTTTTAAATATCAACAACTTTTTACATTAATTCATACATATAAATAAATTTTACTGCAGAGACTGAACTCTATATCACTAATTTATATTCGTTTTTATATTATTTTATTTTATAATTAATAACTTAATTAAATTAATATTTTTTCTTTATTTGTTATAATTTTTTAATTGGTATAACTGATCAAGTATTACACTTCTTTAAATTAGAAAAAATATTATTTATTTATTATAAATAAAATATATATAAAAAATGATAAATGAATGTAACTAATTTAATAAATGAGTCTAACTAATTTAATAAATGAATTTCACTTAAGAGTCACACTAATGTATTACACGTGTCTCTATGATGTTAAATAAAAGACAAATAAATGGAACAATATGTTAATTTTCATTATTTACTCTCTCAAAAATATTTATATTAATTGAAGTGCTTAAAAAGGATAGTAGCGATTAAATTCATAAGTTACTTAAATGGAAGTAGGGTTATCTTCTAAATTCGTATCTAATAAATACCTTCCCAAATAAAACCCTGGAAAAATATGATTAAAATCCTTAAAATGGATTATAAGCAATGAATAATTATCTCTTAATATATATATATATATATATATATATATATATATATATATATATATATATATATATATATATATATATATATATATATATATATATATATATATATATATATATATATATATATATATATATATATATATATATATATAATATATATATATATATATATATATATATATATATATATATATATATATATATATATATATATATATGATCTGACCTGATCAGAAGGTTTGGACCGTCACGGCTTACTCCGAGCTGAAGGCTTTTTGAACGAGGAGGGGGGGGGGGGGGTACCTGCAAGGCACTCCGATGCTAAAGTCAGTGGGAGTACGAGCAGATAATAGAGTTGAGGTTAGAATGATGAATACCTGACCCTCTGGAAACAGAGGGTATTTATAGCCCCCAGCGCTGGGCCAAGGTTCCTTCATTGGGCCGGGCGGATTTGGCCCAATGGAGGAACTGCCAGGTTC